ACACAACTCCTTTACAATTAACAAGCTCTGGACGTTTCTGGAGGATGAATTTGTTCAAGCTGTCCAATTGCCGACAGTACACATTCAACTTGGTTGTTTGGTTCCTTGGTAGGAGCTCGAAAAACACGACACCTTTAAAATCCCACCACCACTGAGAGCATAACCTTCCTCTGATGAATGTCTGCTTTCGATGTCATTTGAGGCGAATCATCACATCGGGACCAAGACCGTTTGCACACCACATTGTTGTAAACAATCCACTTCTCATCAACAGTTATCAGTCACTTCAAAAAAGGATTGTTTTGCCAGCCGAGTGGCTCAGTTGGTTAAGAGCGCGCTCAAGAGTTTGAGCTCTGAGCAACAGCGGTTCAATTCCCGGCCTGAGTTCAGCTGCTGCTGAGCTGCCAACAGGTGGCAGGATGGCTCAGCTAAAAAAAAAAAGGATTGTTTTCCTCATGTTTAATGAGCATATTGCAGATGTTTATAAGCGCCGTCAAATGAACTTCCTTGAGTTCATGCAGAACCCAAATATCGAGCTTGCTTACGTATCCCAGCTTCTTCGGGTGGTCGTGAACGCTTGAATGATGGATGCTCAATGTTTCTGCAATCTCTCGTGTCATGTAACATGGGTTAGACTCGATCGATGCCTTTATTTTGTTGTCATCAACCTCAGTGGGCCTCCCTGACCGAGGAGCGTCGTTGAGATCAAAATCACCAGCACGGAATTTCATGAACCATCGTTGGCACTGACGTTCTTGTAGAGCATTGTCACCATAAACTTTATGCAACTTTTCACAAGCTTGACGTGCGTTCTTCCCTTTATGGAAGTAAAACAGTAAAATATGGCAAAAATGCAGTTTGGTCTTCCATCTTCAACTTGTTGTAAAATCTCCAAAACTGAACCAAATTGCTAAATTTTTTTTTAGAATGAAGCTAGAGCTGTCAGCTGTCAAATGACATAGCAATAATATAGATGCGAATGACTCTCATTACTTCCAAAAATGAACTAGTGCCATCTGTTGCAAACATGCGTCATGACTTTTCCGACAACCCAACAGAGGGTGGAGGGAGAAATAAGTATAGAAATGGATTTCTCAGAATGGATATAATATGAAAATACTCATGTTGTTATCACATAAATGACCATGAGGGCATCCACTGTGGAAGGCATCCTCAAAAAATCAACTGGAAAGATTCTCTCTCCAATAAATGTCACAGACTTTCCCTAGCCCCCCTACTCAATACACAAAGTGGTCATGGAGGCAAGAATGGAGGCTATGCATGAAACCCACAACATGGTCATCCCCCACCAAGGCTAATCTGACTGACTATCCCCACTGCTCAGTGCCCACCTCCCAATTAACAGAAGATCACAGTAAGCTTCTAATATGGGACCTCCCCAAGAAGGATAAGTTAAGTCACTTGGTAGAAAAATAACTACATCGGACAGCTTGCATCATAGAGAGGGACGGTGGTCTATCCTGACAAGAACAGACACGTACTCCATATTTTCCATCCTTAACTACAATATACGGTTGACCCTTAAACAATTCAGGGGTTAGGGGCACCAACTGTCCAGTCAAAAATCCACATATAGGGCCAGCCGAGTGGCTCAGTTGGTTAAGAGCTGGCTCAAGAGTTTGAGCTCTGAGCAACAGCGGTTCGATTCCCAGCCCGAGCTGAGCAGCCGCTGAGCTGCCAACAGGTGGCAGGATGGCTCAGCTAAAAAAAAAAAAAAAATCCACATATAACTTAAGTCAGCCCTCCGGAACTGCAGATGGAACATACAGTTGACCCTTCAACACGTGCGTTTGAATTACGCAGGTCCACTTATACACAGAAATCCACATTTAAGTGGATCTGCACAGTTCAAACCCTTGTTGCCATACCCCATACATGCCTCCAACCAAGTGTATAGGGAAGTGTAGCAATGGACTCTTAAAACACACAAAACTTACTGATTTTATCCTGTGCCCTATCATATAGAAGCAACTAGCATGATCAATTGCTAAAGGCTCAGTTACAGCACCAATGGAGATACTTCCAACAGGATGCTGTCTTTCTTTTTTTTCTATTTTTTTAACTGAGCCATCCTGCCACCTGTTGGCAGCTCAGTGGCTGCTCAGCTCGGGCCGGGACTCGAACTGCTGTTGCTCAGAGCTCAAACTCTTGAGCGAGCTCTTAACCAACTGAGCCACTCGGCCGGCCCAGGATGCTGTCTTAAAGGAGTGAACAATACATAGGGTCACTTCATAGCCAGAACAGATCTGGGAACGAAGAGGTAAAAGTTGGAGTATTTTCATTATTGCACCGAAAAGAGCCACTGAATTTCTGCTTCCTATCTTTGTACCTTGGGTTCAGTGTGTTTGAAGTCCTAGTGGCTAAGGGAGAAAATATTCCACCAGGGTACACAATCATGGTTCCATTAAATTGGAATCTGAGACGACCCCTTGACCACTTTGGGCTCCTTATGTCATTGAACCAATAGGAGGAGAAATGGGTCACTGTACTGGCTGGAATGACTAATCCCAATTATCAAACAGGAATTGAGGTTCTGCTCTACAGTAAGGACAAGAACTTGGAATTCAGGGGATTCACTGGAATGTCTCTTAAATCTCACTTGAACAACAGTCTAATTCAATGGAAAACTGCAACAACTCAATAAAAACAGGACAAGCAAGGATGCAGATTTACAGGAATGAACGTCTAGGTAAAAAAACAAAGCAAAAAAATGCTGGCAAAAGGAAAGGGGAAAATGGAATAGGTAGAGGAATTAAGAAGCTGTATGTATCAACTTTGGCCTTGACACCAGCTAAAGAAAGCAGGGGCTGTAGCAATTAAGTTTCACATTCTTTCACACAGTTTTCTTTCAGCTATCTAGTATGAAAGGTACTGGTGATAGCTAGTATTTTAGATGGGAAGAGTGCTGAATTGCCATTTCCTCACAGTATTACATTAGCTCAGGGATCAGCAGACTTTTTCTTAAAGGGCTAGATAGTAAATAGGCTTTATGGGTCACAGTTTTTGTCATAGCTACTCAACTCTGCCATTGTAGCTCCAGTCACAGACAATACATAAATAAATGGGTGTGGCTGTGTTCAAATAAAACTTTACTTACAAAAACTGGCAGTTGGCTACTGCCAAACCCTACAATAGCTGACAGGACTGTTAAGGTCCCTGTGTTGGGAATACTAGCTTCTTATCTCAACAGAAGAAAACAGAGGCTACTTTGGGGCAACAGGGGCAAAGTGTTCTAGATATTCTCCTTTTGCTCCCGCTAGTCTGCTCTCCACCGTACTCTGCACCCCAGGAGCTGCCGTAACTGGGCACTAACTCTCCAGTTTCTCGTTGACTTGATCAAATGGGAGGCACAGGAGACTGAAGAGCAGAAGGAAAGTGAGCTTGTAGTATCTATTCCCCAGGTTACTCTCTGCCAGGGTGAGGGAGGCAATAGCTTCTTTCTTCTACCAAAGGCCGTAGCTCCTGTAAGATGACTTTCCTACAGCTATGGCTTTCTCCCTTCCTTTGTTCTTTTAGGTTTAAAAGTGGTAACTGTTCCTCAGTGTTAATCTGGTATGCTCCTCCATCTCGTTTGTTCTCTTAACCCTATTTGTTCTTACTGAAGCACTCCTTTCATTATTTCCCCTCAATTAACCTGTATGAATGTGACATGTTTCCTTCTGGAACCCTAACCCATAGACCATCCAACCAATATTTCCAGCGCAAAACCTAAAATCATCCACAACTCCTTTCTAGCATTTGGGAATGCTCGACTCAGCCGCAATCCCTTTCTGCCTGTCATTTTGCCACGGGCAGAGGCGGTAGAGAGGGGTACAATAGACAGAAAGGAGTTGCAGGTGACTCTTAGGTCATCCTTGATTAAAAGTGGCTCAATCACTTGCTAACGTCACGTCCTTAAAAAAGTTACTTAGCCTCCATTCTTTCAGCTGATTTATAAAAATTAAAATTAGAATAGCATCTACCTCACAGGGTGAAGATTAAGTGAGGTAGGTTATACACATATAACCTTAGAAGACAGTCTTACATGTAGCATGTGCTTAATAAATGTTCATAATAATTCAATTATGTCAACTCTATTTCTATGCATTTCACTAATATCATCATTCAGGGCTTCATCAATTCTCCCCTAGATTATTCCAGTAACCTCGTAAATAGACTTTCTAATTCTCACATCTTCACTACCCAATTCTTACAACACAACATACCTAACGTATCCTTCCAGGTAAGGAAAGGAATCACATGTAAGGAAATTGAAAGAGAAATTCCTTCAATGAGGAAACTGGACGTAATGAACCTTTAAGGATCCTTACAAATCTAAGATTCTATGATTCTTATGAAAAGGTTACATTTTTTAAATTAGTTCATCTTAAGTAAACAAACAAGAGGAAAGTTCATGTCATCACTCAAAGAAAACCAGCTCTCACTAAGATTTTGGTCTATTTTATACAGGTCCCCCTGAGAGAGTAAATTACGTACTTGGGTTGTCAAGGGCTTTCCTAGAGTGGATTATATCCACAGTCTACACATCTAAATGGGGGGACAGTTACTAGATTTCAAACACCTTATCTAAAATTTCACTGGCAAGCAGTGTCACCTAAACCAGATCAGCCAAGAATCAGAAAACAAAACTGGCCTCTTAGTGGCCAAGTTAAGTCAGCGTGTGCACTCATTTTACTTAATTTTTTTATAGAAGAAATCTAACTATGGGCGTATTCTTGCTTCCTGCACAATTTTAAAATGCTTGGTAATACAGACATTCATATTCCACAACATATTAGAAGGAACAAAACTTTAATCAGGAAACAGGAAAAAAAGGTGGGTGGGGAGGAGGTATTAGCAAGGCCATGGACCTTGAAGCCACACACACCTGAATGCTAATTCTTACCTATTCTCGAAACACAGTTATCTGGAAAGAAAAGTCTCTAAGTATTGTAAAGGGTGGACTTGTTACTGCTTACAATTCTTGAGAATATACTTACCACGACAGATTTTCTCTGGAAGTTTATGTTGTTGATGCAGACGACCTGATGGGTTGTATATTAAAAAATATAAAAATAAAATAAAGAAAATAATTCTATTAAATGAAGCATAATTATATCCAAGTATAAGCAACAACTATGTCCTAAGCTGCTCAAAAATCACACGTTTTTTGTCTAATTATAAAACCCTACACATTGGGCTAACTTGTTTTCAATGTAGCAACAGCCACAAAAATAAATTTCTTTGGACAAATACAGTTTAGTACTTTTAAGAAAAAGGTTTATTAATCTATAGGAGGCATTCAAGTCTGTTGAATTACACTGTCGTTCAAAGCATTTTCGTCCTACAGACACCATTTCCACGGTAGTGAGTGGGTTCTAGTTTCCCACCAAGTCAGTTTCAAGCAATCACAAAATACAATTAATGCAAACAAAACCCAGAAGAGGAAAGGGAGATGAAAAAATACTTATAATTTATATGGCCTTGGGCTTTCAAAGCCCTTGTCTCCTTTCTTCCTGTTCATTCTGGCGGGCTCTAAACCAGTCGGCGTCATGAAGCGATCCCGCCGAGCCTGGCTTCCCGGAGGACTGCGGGCGTTACGGGGCTCCGGCACCTCACTCTCCCCGCTCCCCCGCACTCTCAAAGTCACGCCCCGCGGCCAGGGCTCCCTCGGCGCCCACGCCAGGCCCGGCCCGGCCCGATCCGCCGCCTCAAACACGCTCTTCGGACTCGGCTCCCTCCAACCGCCCTAGCCGAGCTCCTGTCACGAAGATGCTCCTCTCAACCACCGCTCAGAGCCACCGTCAGCAGACATCTTGCCTATCACCTATGACCTCTAGCGTCTGCGGAAGTAGGACTGCCGGCGGGGGGCGGGACCGGAAGTTCTGTGAGTGGGCGGGGCTTAAGCGACTGGCGGGGTTTTGTATTTGCGTTTCCAAGCACGTCTAGTGGGTAAGAGCTGTTAAGGTTTAGAAAAGCAAATACAAATATTTATTAGGTGAGTTGAGAAGAGCAGGAAGGAAAGGAGAGAACATTTAAATTTTAGAATAAAGATCTAGAGCAACCACGTGGAGAAGTATGGGAACAAGGTTTGCAAAAAGCCAAGGGCTGGAGGATGGAAACCCTGGAGTCTCCTAAAACTAGGAGAGGTGTGCCTTTGATTTGCTGTGTGAACAGACACCCTAAACTACTGGGTCCCAGTGACTTCAGCTGTGAAATATATGATTAGACCCCAGGTATTCTAACTGAAACTCCCAAGTCTTCACTAGGCCCTGTTGCTTCAGTATTTATTTTTAAAAAATAATCCACATAGATCCAGAAAAATGTATTCAAAATATTTTGAAGCCATCATATCTGCATTCCATGTTTATGAAAATAAAACAACTGTAAATTTCAATAAGTTATATCTTGGTTATTTGTGGATTATCCATTAACATTGTTTTTTAACCTTGGATCAGATTTAACTCTGGCCTACCCCCTCCAACTGCCCTGGTGACAAATTCATTAGCTAACTTAAAATTAATTTGAACTTTGGTCTAAATGAAAACAAATTAGGAAAACAAAGCTATAAAGGAACTTCATCAAGCATTCCAAAACCAATGAGAAATTACTTGTACATGGTTCTCTACTGAGTACTACCTGTATCAGTATTCTCCATTATTGGGTTATAAACTGCACTATTAGTATCCTTCACATAGGATTAAGGATTGAATCCATTTCAACCCAAAGTGTGGTCTATACCAGCCAGGAAAACAGGAGTAATTATCAAGCTAATTTCATCAATGCAAAGAACTAATGTAGATAAGTGATAGTACCTAATGACTTCCGGTTTTAATGGAAGGTTGAAAAGTGAAGGGGAACCCACTTACTTGAGAAATGACATTTAAGTGAATAAATAATTCTCTTCTAGGAAACTATCACTATTTAGTTCTCTGAAAACTTTTTTTTTTTTTTACAGATTTTATTGTGGGATTGGGAAATGGGGACAGCATTGGGGAATTGGGGAAGGGGAACAGCCAAGTTGTTGTCCTTCAGTCTTAGTTGTGGATGGCTCAGCTAGCTCAGCTCCAAGTCTAGTCGCCATCTGATTGCCCATTGGCAGCCTGCGGCTGCTCAGCTCATTATGTTATGTTCAATCTTAGTTGGGGATGGGCATAGCACACCATCCCATGCAGGAGTTGAACTGGAAACCTATTGTTAGGAGCATGTGCTCTCACCAGCTGCGCCATCCTGCCACCTGTTGGCAGCTCAACAGCAGCTCAGCTCGGACATAGCCCAATGGCCCATGTGGGAATCGAACCAGTGACCCTGTTGCTCAGAGCTCGCGCTCTTAACCAACTGAGCCACTTGGCCAGCCCATGAAAACTTTTCAATTTATTAAAGATTAGATTGTCTAATCTGAATTAAAGAAATGCAAAGTTAAATACAAAAAGCGGAATTTTTTTCTATAAATAAAATCATAGACTAGAAATAAACTAAACATAAGAATATAAACATACTTTCTTTTGTCCTTGTTACATTGTATACACTGTGTACATAATACAAATATAACTTAAAAAATACAGAAATATCCTATTACATTTACAAAAAAAAGTAGAGCAGTGGTTTCAAAATGTTTAAGATGAGGAGAAAAGTGACTCAAAGCCCTAGGTTTTTAAAAATCTGGGATACAAGTACAGAAAAGAATCTTTTTCTTATAACCAGCAACTTCATATAACAACTTTAGTACCAAAGGAATAGCTGTTGTTCTTTTAAGAAATGGGTCTTCTTGAGTTATAAACTTTAACACCATTTTGCATTGAAGATCGTGCATATTTAGTGAGCAGTGCACCTATGGTTTGCTTCTCTCCACACAAATCCCTGTGGGAACAATAAAAAAAATAAATGAATAGCATGAATATTTTAGGGAATATCACTTACTATTAACAGTACTAATTATTTATATCTCTCTTCCCTAAGTCCATCTTTCCAACAAGCATAAGGGTGTGTGTTTGTGGGCGAGGCAGGGTGGGAGTAGTTACTAAGTCTTAATTGAACTATATACATTACATGTATCTTCAACCTTCACAATAAGAGTATGAATAAGGTATTATTTAACCCCATATTAGATATTAGGAAACCAAGGCTCAAGTAGTAAAGGATAGAGCCAAATTTTACAGCTAGCTCTCATGTTTTCTCCATTTTATCACTCAGCCTCCAAATTAGAAATGCAAGCAACGTGATACAGTGCAGTCTAGACTCAGAGAACCTGGATACCAGGCTACCTGTGTGACCTTGTCTAGGTTACCTATCTCCCTGAACTTCAGCTTTCTCTTCTGTTCCCCAAAAAGAAGACCATGGCTGGAACATAATTAGGGGGAAGAGGAATGGGAGGACATGACCTAGAGAAAGGAGCAAGGCCTAGATCATGCAGGGGCCTTGAAAAACATGGGAAGGTGCTGTGATTTAATTCTAAGCATAATGGGAAGCCACCAGGAGGGTTTTAATTAATGAAAAAGTTGAATGTGATCTAAGTGTAAATAATGGAAGCAATGAGTTGATTATGGAAGCTGGATGGTGAGTTTGTGGAGGGTTCATTATATTATATTGTCTCTCTGAATGTTTAACATTTTCCAGAATAAAAAGTTTTAAAAGGTGGAGAGGGGAAGGAGGCAGAACAGAAGGAGGGGGACCAATTCAGAGTCAGGTACAACATGATCCATCAGGATTTGCTCATAGTTTGAACCAGGGGGGCGAGAGAACAGACGGGTGATTCCTAGATTTTTTGCTTTAGTAAGTGGATTCATGGTAGTGCTGTTAACCGAGATGAGGAAGATGAAATTAGGACAAGGGGGTACCAACAGTTCTGTTATGAGCATGTTAGGTGTGCAATTCCTATTAGACACCCAAGTGTAAATGTTAATTAGGCAGCTTGATCTAAGAATCTGGAGCTCAGGGAAAAGGTCAAGTATGAAGATAAAATTAGGAAGACACTAAATTGAAATCCAGGCCTAGATGAGGGCATCAAGGGAACACATATAAACAGAAGAGAGGATGGCCAAGAATAGTGTCCTAGGACGCTTCAACATTTAAAGATTTGGAAGAACAAGGAGACATCAGCAGAAGAGACAGAAAAGGTGCCGCCTTGGAGGAGAGAAAACCGGTATATTTCAAGTAGGAAGTGGTCCAGTGTGTCAACTAGTGCTAAGCGGCCAAGTAAACAAGGACAGACAATTGGCTACTGAATGTAGAAAGATGGATGCCATTGGGTTAAGGAGATGTCATTGGGTTAAGGAAAGAATGGGAGAGAAAGAAGCAGAGTACAAACTTTTAAAAGGAATTTTCTTGTGAAGGAGAACAGAGGACATGGGGTCCAGTTGGCTATTATTGTTTTTTAAGATGAATACCATAGAATATCGTCTTTTGGTGGGAATAATTCAGTAGACAGGGAGACACGAGGGAGGGGTGGGGTGGTAACTAGAAAATACAAGTCTTTACAAGGCGAGAAGAGATGTGTCAGTTCATGCATTATACGGGGGGACTGCAAAGGAAGTGGGTGCAGTCAGAGGCTGGCAGATTTGGCAGTGGGAAAGAATAGTGCTTGTGTTGCCTTGTCTGTTTGTATTTTCTCAAAACATAAGATTATAAGCTGAGGGTGAAGAGGAAACTGAGGGTATAGATGGTATGAAAAGAGAAAAAGAGATGTACAGTGTAAAGTGAGCTCCCGGGGTAGAAAAGTTTCATGAGGAAATGGTGCCTTGCCAGGGGCCCTGCTAAGTACCACTGAAGTTCTTAAGTGAGCCTGGCAAGCTCCACTGTCTTTTTCCTGGAAATTTTAGCTGCCCTCGTGGAGGCACTAAATAAGCAGAAAGGTGGGTTTTAATCTTTGTAGGTTTGTGCTCAGGAGGTATGACAAGACAGAGAGAGGGGGCCAAACGAGTCGTGTGTGCAGTCAGAGCTGGAGAGACTGACCAGGGAATCCAGTCTGGGTAGAGAAGGGAGTGGACTTGACAGGTGAGACAAAGTGAAGGGTTGGTAATGTTAGTGGATTTGATGTCCTCTAAGCACTGGCTTTAAGGCTACCTTGTTCTTCTGCAATCTGGCTTCTACCACACTGTTCAAGCAAGGCAGTAGAAAAGATATGAGGTGGCAATCAGAGAGGGGTGCTTGCATTAGAATTATAGTGGAGTATACAGTCTGACCTCCTTCTAAGAGTTGCAATTTGGCAGGGAGGAGGTCAAAGAAGTGCTTTTCAGAAGCTATAGTAAGGAAGGAATATAACACACACCCAATCTCCAGGATAAGTATAATATTGGGTTGTCGGAAAAGTCATGATGCATTTTTACAATGAAAAACAGGCAAAATATGTCATGACTTTTCCGACAACCCAATAGTTATGGAGAAGGACAGAGAAGACAAACCACCACTTGAGAAAGTTTCGAAGGAAGCAGTGTCCTCCGAGAGTACTCAAAAAAAAATTTTTGTGTTCTAATAATAAATATACAACCCTATGCCAATCTTTATTTCAAAAAATAAAACCCCAAAATCTGTTTTTAATAATTGACTTACTTAATATAGGGAGCAATGTCTTCTTCTGTCCACTTCTCCCTTAGAGAGAATAGACTATTAAAACGTTCCTGATCATTCTCCGGTAAATCATCTACTTTTAGCAAAAATATGATTTCTGGTCTCGAGTGTCTATCCACCAAGGCTAAACCCTATTAAGAAATGAGAAGAAAAAAGGCAGTTAAAGTAATGGTCTAATGTTTAAATATGGCTCATTCTTTTAACTTTAGCTTAGCCCAAGGCATTTAAAATGTCAGCTACCTGAAACTTACACAAACTACCCAGAGACTTACAATAGCCTTTTCATTAAAAAAAAATCCTTTAAACAGTGAATTTTCCTTTTCCCTTCTGCAGTCTGGCTTCTCCCATACAGTTTATCTAGACAGCTCGAGTTCAGTCGCCAATGACCTGTCACTGCCATATCCAGTGGGGCCTTTTCTTGGGCTCATGTCGTTAGCCCTGTATTCTTTGTTAATGTGGATTACGCCTCCCTCTTTGAATTTCTATCTCTGACATCACCGTCTCATTCTTTTTCCCCTAACTTGATGCTGCAGTTCCCTGGGCCTCTATCCTGATCTCTCTACTTGTCTCACTTATGACTGTCCTGCTTAACTTCAACTAAACCTGTGATTTCAACCACCATTTACTTGCTAGTGTCTCTAATATTTATATCTAAAACTCACATCTCTCTTCTGAGCGCCTGCTCTCTATATCCAAACCTATGTATGAACTCATTGTATTTGTCACCCAAACCTGCACAAGTCCCACTATCCCACTAGGAAGCCAAGAAAGCGAGGCATCATCCTTGATTCCATTATTCAAACTCCACACGTAAGTGGTCACTGCATCCTACAGGTTTTAAAGCCTCAACGTTTCTCACTATTCTCCATCGCCTATTTCTTTAGCCAGTACTCTCTTAGTTAGGGTTATTTAAGTGTTGAGAGTCTGGATAGTTCTTTTTCATCATCTAGTCAACCTTCCATGCATCCATCCGTCCATCCATCCATTCTCATTACTGTCATAAGTTTCTTTCCAAGAGGCAAAACTCACCAGGTTGCTCTAGATTCCAAGTGATGTTAAGGAATGACCCCACAGAGTTTTCTAGACAGAGTTGAAATTCCTTAGCACAGTCCACAGTGTCCCTCACTAACTCACTGGCACCCTTCACTCTAGTCACACCTCCCAGTGCCCCAGTTTTTATCCCTCTCTGCTTTGGAACATGCTCTCCCATATCTGCCCTTTCATCTAGTAACAGTTCACACACACTTGACAGCTAAAATATCCATTCCTTCCAAAAATCATCCTGATTGACCAGATAGACAAGCTCCTATCCTTTGTTCCTGTAACAACTTGTACATGTCCCTCCCATGGCACAGATCGCTCTACATTACAAGGAGAGATTTATATGTGTAATGTGCACCCTCCCCTCCCACTGCCGGTGCCCAGGCTGATAACTTTGAGGGCCTTGTGTGATGTTTTCTCCACAATGTCTAGCATGGTACCTAGTCATAAAAGGACTAAATACTAAGCAAATCCTTTCACTGATTTACCGATACTTACTGAGCATACACTACATGCCAGGCAGTATGCAATATGTTGGCAAGCGACAGTGAACACAATTCTATTAACGTAGAGAGTGGGGAACAACATAATTAAAAATATTTCCAAAGCTACCTGATAAGTGCCATGAAGGAAAAAATACAGGATGTTATGAAAAAGTAAAACAGAAGGCACTTTTTTTTAGAGCGGAGGGTCTCCTTGATGAAATGACTCAAACATGAGAAGGAGAAGGAGGTGGCCAGGTAAAATTAGGGAGAAGATCATTCTAGAACAAAAAGCCTTGTGTGAAGCTCCTAAGGTAGGAGAGAGCTGGATGATCCTAATAACCTAAAAGAAGGCTGGTGTGCAGTGAGCAGGAGCGAAAGTAGCAAGAGATGTAGCTACATGGGGAAATATGAAAGGCCCTGTAGACCAATATAAAAATTTTGGATTTCATATCTTAAATGCAATGGGCAACCATTAAAGTGATTTAAGCAAGATGTTCATCTAATCTGACTGGCATTTTTAAAAGAACTTTCCAGTACCAACACAGAGAATGGATTGGAGGTAGGCAAAATTAAAAGTATGGAAGGCCTGCTTAGGGATGTTATTGCTATTTAAGAGCCACGAAACTGATACTTTGGGCTAAGATGGTGCTGGTGGCAATGGAGAGAAGTCGAATCCAAACAGGTACACCAGGTGGGAACTGGGATTGATTGTAAAAGGGCCTGAGGGATCTCAATGAGGTGATAAAAATGTTCTGAAACTGGATTGTGGTGATGGCTGTGGAACTCACTGAATTTACCTAAAATCCTTTTCAAAAGAGTGAATTTTGTGATATGTAACTTATACTTCAATAGAATGTTGGGTGTTTTTTTGTTTTTTTACAGATTTTGTGATGGATTAAGTGTATAGTGCATGCCTAATGGGTGCCTAGGAAAATAAATATTGGCTCCAAACTCAGTTCCAATGCAAGTTTCATTTCACCTAGTCATTAATGTTCCCTTGTGGAGTCATGGTCACAGTCACTATCGCTATCTTACCTTAAGCTGGTCAAGCCTCGTTATCATTCCTTCAGGAACACTCTGTTGCCACACTTCTTGAAACTCAGCGAGATTGAATTTCACTGCATTTTGAAGTAACATTTGTGCTGTTGCTCTGCATATTTTATCAGCACTCAAGTCAAAATAAACTTCACCTAAGGAAAAGGTATCAGATAGTTGCATAATTTTCTTCTTACAATTAAATACACTACTAATGTTTTCTTTTATTCCACGCAGTTCACAGGAATTATATACAACTCATCTTCCACAAACCCATGGAGTTATTTTTAACATGAACACACCTCAGAAAGGCATGCGAATTTTAACATACATGAGTTAAAATGCCCATTAAAATATGTTCCGAGTCGTACCTTCCTCTACATATTTCCTTCCATAACATTTAAGACAGTGTTCGATCATCTCCCTGGAAAATTTAAAACACTCATTTGAAAAGTTATCACATTTGTATGCATTATATTTTAAATACTACTGCTAACTAGAAACTAAGATATAAGTTTGAACTATTACATTGTTTTGTACACCTGAAACTAATAAAAACAAATTTTTAATTAAAAAAACAAGCTATAAATTTGAGATTTGAAATAGTACGGGATTTGGGTTGCCAAATAAAACTTTACATTAGGAACTAATTAAAATATACTGGGAAGCTGCCATGTGCCAGACCCCATGCTAAGTATTTTTACATGAATTATGTGAGCATGCATGAATCATGTGAGCACGCATTATTATAAAATAGCTTAAATATAATTATATTTTTATGCAAAAAAAACCAAACATGATGCACATTTATTCACCCCAGTGACCAAATTCCCAAGTCCTTCTTGGTTGTATATTTTTTTCAATTTCTGTAAGATATCAAAACAGAAGTAGTCTATGCCCTGGGTTTAGTTCCACCCTGGAAAAGAATTTTCTTCCCCTTAAGGAAATCTGGAGGGACAGTGATTAAAATACTTACTCTGGCTCTAATGGTCCAAGTTCCTGAAGGCATATACTCAAAGGAACTTTACTAAAAGACCAAGATTCGGAATCCACAAGCTGAGTTACATGATTCAGAAGTTTCATCTCATAATCAAATTCAAGAATCCTCCAATAACCTACAAATTCCAAAAGTTATTTTTTTCCAAGAACATATTAAGCAAATTAACTGACTAATAAATTGATAATGTAGCAGCATGTTCTTGCCCACTGCAAAAAAGGAGACACTAAGAGTCTTAGCTTTCTTCACCAGCAATGCTGTTTGTTACACTTTTCTCCCAGTCATTACAAATTGTTTCTGGAGGGAGATCGAATGGTTTTTTTTTTTTTTTTAGCTGAGCCGTCCTGCTACCTGTTGGTAGCTCAGTGGCTGCTCAGCTTGGGCTGGACTCGAACCGCTGTTTCTCAGAGCTCAAACTCTTGAGCGAGCTCTTAACCAACTGAGCCACTCGACCGGCCCTCGAGTGGTTTTTAAAGAGTACTTTACATATGATTAACACTGATTTTTTTCAAGTGCTTTAATACTCAATTATCTCACAATTATCATGTTCTCAATGGGAATATGGGAACCTGTAGCTGATACAATCATTTCATTGGAATGTCGTACAAATGAGGTGAAGGTCATAGGTTTGATATTCCACACAGTAACTTCTGTTGTGGGGTCCTGCCATGGTTATCATTCTCATCTCAGCTATCTTGCAGAGGTGTTCTCATGCTCAAAAAAATGTCTCTCTAGCTCATTCAAGAGATAATAGATTCAGAGGTATGATGTAGACCAGTGGCAAAATAAAGGCTGGGTATCAAGATACTTTTCTCTATTCCCGTGAAAGATTTAAAAATGGAATGGTAATGTAAAACTGAGAAACAAAGCTAGGAATGATTTCTGCACCCCTCCCTCCCTACATACACCAAAATTTTATCCATCCCCATGCAGTAAGTGAATAATGCACAGGGCTACGTTAAAACCCACTGTTGTTTTTTTAACCTTAACATTTACAGTACCCATATACCATAGCAATTAGCAGCAGGCATCCATAATTAAAAACTTTATTTCCTATCCTTAGGACCAAACATGTCTCAAGAAACCACCCCAAAGAGCTAAGTGCTCCCAGTCCGTTCTAAAGTCGTGTGTAGTTGCTTTACTCAGCATAATTTGCCACATTTGAGAGTTAAGGTCTCAGAAAAACTAATCTTGCTTGGAAGATTGTGAGCAAATTGAACAGTGCATCTACCAACCCATGCCAATTTCCTCCTTCTCAACACCTGGGTGCAGAGAGAGGTAAGCTGCTTCTCTGGGTAAGCTTAGAAGGGCTGAAAAAATGCACACAAACATCTCCTGAAGTATTACTGCAGGCCCAGATGCTGGGAGAAAAGCTCCAACTCCAGACCAGACACCAGTCAAAACACTCAAGACACTACTGGGCTTCTCCACCAACCAGAGACCAACACACACTACTGCATCTTTTACATACTCGTAGGTAATATTATATAAACTATTGAACACATATTCAAAAATACGTTAAGAGTTATCACAAGAAGAAACACAGTCCCATCTTCCAAGCAATTTGGCAAGATAATGAGGTTATTAAGTTAATTCTGAACCTGGAGTTGGAGTTCAAGTCAACCTGGGTTCTAAGCCTTATCCTATCACTAACTCATCAGTAGTCCTGGACAAATCAGTTTCCCTTTCTAGGCCTTATTTCCTCACCTTTTAAAAACAATAAAGGGATTAGACTACCTGATATCTAAGACCTTTATCAGTCCAATATGGTTCTTCCATTACCGCTTAATCCAAAGAAAAAGGGCTGTAAGGGGCAGTTAAAGCCAATGGCTACACTCAGACCTCCTCATGTAAAGATCACATGTAGTCTCTACCCCACACCTGGAAATACAAATAGCATCAACCTTGAGCCCAGAGGATTAAATAAATAACACGCAATAGGGTGAAGATGTCCAAAATCGTCTCTCTCTCATATGATGTCCAATTTTATAGTCATTAATAACAATAGTAAGTAATGATACCTCCAATCTCACAGGCATTTAGAACTTGTAATTGGGCCATTATTTCTTCTTCACTTGCCTGAATTTGATCAAGCAAATCTTCAGTTGTATACTAAAACAAGAAAGAAAAAAAAAAACATTCTTAGGGCCTTTGAGTAATACTGTTTTAAATTAAATTTATTGGGGTGACAATGGTTAATAAAATTACATAGGTTTCAACTGTACAATTCCGTAATACATCACCTATATATCATATTGTGTGCTCACCACCCAGAGTCAGTTCTCCTTCCTTTACCCTTTTCTGCCATCACCCCTTCCCCCTAACACTCTGGTAACCACTAAACTGTTATTTGTGTCTATGAGTTTTGTTTCTTTATTTGTTTGTCTTGTTCCTTCGTTGCCTTCACTTATCCCACTTATGAGTGAAATCATGGTTCTCAACTATTTCTGTCTGACTTATTTCGCTTAGCATAATAATCTCAAGATAAATCCATGTTGTCACAAATGGCAGTATTTCATCTTTTCTTATATATTTTTAAGACTATTGAGTTTGAGGGAATAAATACATAGGACAGATTAAGGCAATATTATACACTAGCTCCATTTCTTTTGTTCATGTGTATGATTACTACACGAAGTCAGTGGATATCTTAGACAAAAACATAGGGGTAAATCTCTGTGATGTTGAATTTAGCAATGGTTTCTTAGATAGGACAACAAAACACAAGCAATAAAAGAAAAATAGGTAAGTTAGACTTCATCAAATCGAAAAAGTTTTGTAGTTCAAAACATCATCAACACAAAGGGACAAATATTGCATGATTCCACTTATATGGGATATTTATAGTCAGGTTCACAGAGACAAAAAGTAGAATAGTGGTTGCCACAGGCTGCAGGCAGGACACACTGGGGAGTTAGTGTTTAATGGGTACAGAGTTTCAGCTTGGAAAGATGAAAAATTTCTGTGAATGGACAGCGGTAATGGTTGCGGTACAATGTGAATATACTTAATGTCACAAAACTACACACACATGGTTAAAATGGTAGATTTTATGTATGTACCTTTATAATTTTTTAAAAATGAAGTGAAAAGGCAACCCAGAGAATTGAAGGAAATATTTGCATATCATATATCTGATAAGGAACTTGTATTTAGACTACATAAAGAACTCCCCTGCAACTCAGTAATAAAAAGACAAATCACCCAATTAAAAAATAGACAAAGAGCTACTGAAGTGACATTCTCCAAAGATATATAGTCAACAAGCACATGAAAAGATGCTCAACATCATTAGTCATTAAGGAAATGCCCATCAAAACCACAATGATACCACTTGGATGGATATAAAAAGACAGATAATAACAAGTGTTATCAAGAACGTGGGGAAATTGAAACCCTCATACAATGGAAATGTAAAATGGTGCAGCCACTTTGGAAAACAGTCTGGCTATGTCTTGAAAGGTTATACAGTTACCACATGACATATCAATTCCACTCTTAGGTATATACCCAAGAGAAATGAAAATATAAGTCCACTAGAAACTTGTACATAAATGTTCACAGCAGTGTTATTCATAATAATCAAAAAGTAGAAACTACCCAAATGTCCATCAGCTGATGAATGGGTGAATAAAATGTGGAATATCTGAAAAGTAGGGTATTATTCAGCAATAAAAAAAAATGAACTTCTGATACATGCTGCAGCATGAATGAACCTGGGAAATACGATGCTAAGTCAAAAAGAAGCCAGTCAGAAAAGGCCACCTACTATAGACTCTGTCACACAAAATATCCAGAAGAAGCAAATCAACAGAGAAAGTAAATTATGGTTGCCTAGAGCTAAGGTGGGAGAGGTAAGGAGGGAAAGGTAGGATTGGAAGGTAATTGCTAAAGAGCATGTGGTTTCTTTGGTGGGTGATGAAAATGTTCTAAACTTCTATATGGTGATGACTGCACAATTCTGCATATGCACTAAAAACTGTTGAATTATACTTTAAAATGAGTGAATTGTTTGTTATATGAATTATATCTAAATAAAGCTGTTACAAAAAAGAAATCAATCAGCCAATGGATTAAAATAGAACTTTTGATGTAAATATGGTCTTCAGAATACCAGTAGAGTTCTACAATTTTGAGTCACGTTAAAAACTTAACATTTTTTTAACTTGGTTTATAAATTTGTTTCCATACTTCCAGGAATTAGGCAATCCTGATATTAGAGTAAGAATGCTTTCCATAATGTATTTATGTAATACATAAAATCCAATACTTATCATAATTCATTTTCTCAAGAGTCTCTAATTACAATTTTTAATTATTAACAAATAAAAATTAATTTACCCTGTAAAAAACTATTGTTGCATAGTTCAGGAACATGAGCTTTCAACTATGTAACCATCACCATGATATCTAGGATTTGCTTTATAATACTCCAGGAAAAGAAAAACAAGGTAGGAGAAAGATTGACAAAATATCGATAAATGTTCAACTGGGTGATGAATATATGGGAGTTTTTCCACTTTGGGGTATGTTTGACATTTTCATAATATAAACTAAAAAGTAAGAATGCCACCATTAAGTGCCTCTAATCATAGCTCTATGTTTTTTTAAATTCCAAATTAAAAAATGAAAATAATAGTCTTACTTTTGAGCAATTTGAATCCTTTTCTTTTTGACTGTCAGGTCCTTCGTAGGTATTCTCCATCAAAAGTCTCTTCAGCTTCTTTAATTTAGGTCTACATCTTCTTAATTCCCAATAATTATTAGAAAAACCAAAGATCTAGAAATTAATCACATATCATAATCTTTTAAGGGCTGTTCTGAAAGAAAATTTCATACAAAATTTCAACCAACCCATCTGCCCTCAACAAGAAGCAAGAAAAAAGAGAGACTGGATTTCTGCTTTTTGTTAGGAAGGCACTCATCCAGCCAACTCAGGCAGATAGAGGGGGATCTTCATGAAGCATCTTCTCAAACTCCAATTAAAAACATGCTGCCAACATAGTGAGAGCCAATACTTGCACTCCATATCTCAACTGTCTGGAAACTAGAGTATGCCCAGAAAAGAAGGACCAACCAGGATGGTGACAATTCTGCAAAGCAGGTAGAAACAACTGAAAATGAGTATTGTTAGCCTGAAGAACAGAAAAATGAAGAAAAGACATTATCACAGTCATCAAATAATAAAAAGATGTTCAAGGGAAGAAGGAGAACCCTTGTTGCTCATGATGTAAAAATTAAGCAGAAGTTAAGGGACAGAGACTTCTATTCAATGCAGGAGCTTCTTTATTTAGAATTGTAGCTGGTTCTTTATTGGACGTATGGAACAGTGAGAGGCCTACCACTCACAGAAATCCAGCCGATAGTTGCTAAATAATGGATAAATATCTGTCATCCCGCTCGGTATCTCTACAACTTGCCTAGTGTCTTGCACTTAGTAGGTGTCCAATAAGTATTGCACATGAAAAGAGAAAAGGAGGAATTGGATTACCTCTGGGGTGCCCTCCAATTCAAAAATAGAAGGTCAGGGAATGCTTTTATTCTCAAAGTAGTATAAAGCTTGATTCACAAGACAAGGCCCAGAGGCTGATGGGATGCTACTAAATTTAAGGCCTTCAAAAAGAGGAGCTTAAGGACCAAACCAGAAAGACTGATTTCACAAACTGGCAGTCTGCTGGCTATATCCAGCACACAGACGTTGGTGTGTGCTTTTGTATTAGGAGAATGGAAGTTAAGTGTAGCACAGAGCTTAAATTAGTGGCCAACATTGAACAGTTAGGAATTTTTGCCCCAAAGTCTAAATTTCAAGCTTTATTTGGGAAAAAGAAATCAGAAGATCCAGCAATGCTGAGTCTGCATTCCTTCAAGGCCAAGTAGTGGCCACTCACCTACTCAGGGCTTGTGCTGTCACATTTGCCATAGACCTCACTATTCCCTATTACTCCTGAGACTGGGCATCCACCACCATTTCCAAAGGCCAGCCTGCTTTGTTCACATGCATTCCTTACCTCGCCCTGTTAGGTACCGGAAGTACAACCACAGATTAAAACTTTGGTTAGGAGAACTTTGCTAAGTTTTACTCAGTCTCAGTACACAGAATTCCCATAGCGAGAGCTCAAAGGTACTCACAGATACTGTTAGACCCTCACAAAAACACCTACAAAACAGGTGATGAGAAAACAACATCTTTTACCAAAGGATAAACTGCCAATGCTTCTAGTTAATTACAATGAAAGACATAACCCTACAAAAACCAAAATACAATATTTATTGCAAGTTCTTCTGTTCTAGCAACATCCTATAAATCACTGAGATGTCCCAGTACTTTCCCTCATTTCTATTCCAATTGTATTTTCACAAAAGTACTTGGCTTGAAGTCATTCTGAGAGAATTAAGGGCTGTGCTTTGATTGTTATATGTGTAACAATCTAGCCAAGAGGGAGACTTTTGTTTGGTATCTGCCATCAGTAGTCCCCCCCAAAATTTAAGAATTTGTAATACACGACTATAGACAGTAATGAGCTAAACCAACTTCAAAGATGAGCAACACAGTTCCCTCAAAAACTCAATTCTTCATTTCTCTATGTCATAAATATTACCTAACACACTAGTTACGGTTTGAAGGAGTCTCCTCTCAAAACATAGCCACAGAAAAACTTACCAAAAACAGAGGCCGGCCGAGTGGCTCAGTTGATTAAGAGTTGGATTAAGAGCGTGGGCTCTGAGCAATAGGGCTGCCAGTTCGATTCCCACATGGGCCGGTGACACTGTGCCCAAGCTGAGCTGTCGCTGAGCTGCCAACAGGTGGCAGGATGGCTCAGCTGGTGTAACAACAAGATTTGCCTGCTAGATGGTGGGCTACACCCACCCGCAACTAAGACTGAGCTCGGCACCTTGAGCTGAGCTGCCGCCCGGATGGCTCAGTGGATAGTGTGCGCTCTTAACAACAAAGCTGCTGGGGTTCGACTCCCACATGGGATGGTGGCTATGCCCACCAGCAACTAAGACTGAACTCGGCACCTTGAGCTGAGCTACCACCTGGATGGCTCAGTAGATAAGAGTGTGCGTTCTTAACAAAAAGGTTGCCGGATTCAACTCCCACATGGGATGGTGGCTACGCTCACCCGCAACTAAGACTGAACACAGCACCTTGAGCTTAGAGGCCATGAGCTGCCGACAGGAAGCCAGATGGCAACTGGCGCCATCCACAACAAAGAGTGAAGAACAACAACTTGGCTGGTCCCCTTCCCCAAGCTCCCAGCACTGTTCCCCTCCCGCAATTCGCCAATAAAAAAATCTTTAAAAAAAAATAAACTTACCAAAAATAGATAAAACTCCTAGAATGAGTCACCTAATAGCAAACTTTCTACGTTACAGAAAATGACCAACTTGTCTGGGACTTAAAAATTAAACTGGGAAAACAAAGACAACTTCACAAGACTACGAACAAAATAATGCTGAAAAATTTCAAATTTCATTAGAGAATTTCTCAGATTTTCTGTGATTATACATTACATACCCAAGGTTTTTAATTAAAGGCAAGATTAGGACATGTGTTGTCATTCTCCTACTTATATAAATCAGGAGACAGAAAACAGTACCTCAGTGTGAATGATGTTACAGTGTGCCTCTTCCATCTTCAGCTGGTCTGGAGTTTTACAACCAGGAATTACAAGCAACATATTGGAAGTGTCTGCTATCCTCAAGTCATATGTTTTGTCTTTACTGCACAGTATAGCTGGCTCATCTTTATCACCACGAATCACAAAGCTACAGGAAAAAATGGGAAAAGAAAATGCATGGTCTATTGAAATGCCAATGGACATCTTCATTATAAACAGTTCCAACATCCTCCTGGCTGGTAGAGTTTAAAATGTTTCCTGAGGGAGGCTGGATCTGGCCCCTGCTCTCATAGGCCCCATGATAAGCTCCACAGAGCAAGAACTGGGCCAACTGAGAGCCAATAGAGCATCAGGTGGCCTCACTAAGGAAAAATAACTCAACACAGGCAAGAAAGAGTCAAAGAGGCCAAATGTCACCACATGGCAAACTGCTGGGAAGAACACAAGACGAAGCTTAAGTCAAGATGTCACACTTCTAAAACAGGCAAAAGCAGTTATTTCTGAAACTTATGCATAGGCATCTTAGGGAATCTTGTGAAAACACAGATCGGGATTCAGTAGGTCTGGGATGGGACCTAGGCATCTGCATTTCTATCAAGCTCCCCGATGATGACCATGCTGCTGGTCCTGGTTCCCACCCAGGAGTGGTCCTTCTTGTTTTGTTCTGAGACTCCCCTAACAATCAAAGGAGCACATCCTGGCCTAACCATCAGCTATGTCGCAAAGAAATTGGGACCTTGTGAAAATAAGGCCACAGTGCTGATGAAAAATATGAAAAAGATATGTTTACAAACTAGTCTACCAGAAGTCTCTGACAAAGGGTCACAGGTGGGAAAAAACAAGAAGAAGGAAAAGGAAAAAGAAAGACCAAAGACAAAGATGATGAGGGCAGCCAGGTGGTTCAGTTGGTTAGAGCTCATGTTCTAAGCAACAAGGCTGCCGGTTCAGTTCCCACATGAGCTGGTGGGCTGCGCCCCCGCCTCCCCCCACAACTAGAGTGAAAACTGCGACTGGACTTGGAGATGAGCTGTGCCTTCTACAACTAGACTGACACAACTACGTGACTTGGAGCTGATGAGTCCTGAAAAAACACACTGTTCCCCAATAAAATTTCAAAAAAAAAGACAAAGATGATGAGATGATGAGAGTTGGCTCTAGCAATTTTCCTTGTCTATAAAGCATTTAACCCTCTGGTATACGATTCACTTCTTTTAAATAAATGATTAAAAAAAAAAACACCTGAAATAGAAAGCTGTGTAAATACTTTTTAAAACTAAGCCTTCATTTAAGTAAAAAGAATAAAAGGTTTTTATTAGCCTCCTGGTGCTAATAACATTTAATATTCCCAAGTGCCTACCCTGTTAACATTTATTTCAACATTGTACTATCCCTGCTTTGAAATATTTTTACAACTACCCCTCCCCCCACAAAAAACATTTTTTAAACACACATTTCCAAGTGAGCTAGATTAACTATAACTGGACAAAGAGAAGATCCTCACACCTGAAGTCCTTTCTCAAAGCCCCACCCACTCGAGTGGGATGAAAACCCATGAATAAGGTTCGTTCTTCAGTTCCCTTAAAGATACTTCAGAGATAGCATCTGAAGACTGGCCAGTTAACTCTGTTTGATGGGTAAAGTGTGAAAACTGAAAGGCAGCCTAAAGAATACAATTTAAAGGAACCTACGAGAGAACAAACTACCTAATAAAATAAAACGTAAGTGTTGGGGGAACCGGCAGTGCAGTAGAGTCAAACCGCGGCTCAGGAGTTGGGACTGCAAAATTGAGAGAGAGATTCTTTAGACTCTTCCTTTGACTGTGTTTTTTAATCCACGGTCTTGCAGCAAATGGGTAGCTAACCTAGAATTAGAAACAGCTTCAGAACCTATTCGGTGACCCCAAGAAGGTCTGGTTTGGGGAGGGGGGGTTGAGGGCCTTCCACAATTACCAAGTCTGTAAAACGATTTTAAACGTATTCCCTACAGTCCTACCCATTGTCTGGGTAAAATAAATATAAGTGCAAGGCAAGAAGAACTGTATAAATATGAGACATTGCCTTTGGATTTTAAGGTAGAATGGCCAAGGGTTTTCTGTGTAGCCCGTGACATCACCGTTAACATCTTCAAAACTTCACTTACGTTCTACTATATTTCCTGACCTGTTTCCGCTGACAGGCCTCCAAGATCAGCTGCAGCGGTCCTATTGGTCACCTCAGTTCAGCTAACTGCACCGCCTAGCAGTGGCATGGACAAAGCCTGCTGTGCGCACCTCCCCCCCCGCACCCCCCCACCCCCCACCCAGGCAAATCAATGCACCTCTCAGGCCCAGTTTCCTCATCCTGCGTTTTCCCGCAGAGAAAGTCAGAAGGTGGCTGGCACGAGGCTGGAGGCGCGGTAGACTACCCCAGCTCACCTGCTTCCCGCCTCCAGCTGCTGGCACAGCGCGGGCTCCAGCTCCAGGAGGCAGAAGTCGCCGGCGGCGGCGGCGCTGGCCTCGGGGCGAAAGCCCAGGCAGTGCACGGCCGGCAGCAGCTCGGCGGGGTTCAGCTTGGCGATCTGCAGGGTCGCGTCCACCTCCTCGCGGGTCCTGCTCATCGCTGCGCGGAGTCAGGGGTTGAGAGCGCGAGAACCGAGGTCCGGACGCTGCTGGGATCATATAAAACACACAAGAACCAAAAGAGACCGTTCCTAAAGCGCGCCAAGGCGGCTGGGGGCGTGTTTCCGGGGCGGAGCGCGCCGCGGGCGCGTCCCTGGAAGGTCCAAAATCTCCGTGCGCCAGCAGGGCAGAAGTCTAGTGGTCGCAGGCGGAGCAGCGGCTGCTGCAAGGAAACCCGCATCGCCCTGCGATCTCTGCCTACGCTCTCCGAGCAGAGCCGCGACCCTGCGGGGCGCCACGCGCAACCTTCAGCCACCCTTTCCGCTGCTCCCACCCCCTTGATTCCCGCCAATACCCCCATTTCCTCGCAATCAAAATAGTCTCATCTTCTGCCACTGGCGCGCCTTGTGATAAGCGCTTTGCATGCTTAATTTCACAGACCCGTCACCACACCCCTGTAAAGTGGGCTCTTGTATCCGTTTTGCAAATAAGGAATCAAGCTCCTTGCCCTTGGTCGCACAGCCAGGAGATGACAAAGTCTGATTCCAGCCCAGGCTATGATTCTAAAAGCATCCTCCCGGGATGGGTGCAAACACCGTTGGGATTGGTGCAAACATCATTGGCCGGGAGCTAGGCCCTGGTAGAACTGGACGGAGCGTCTCACTTCTTTGGGTCTGGAGACCATCATATCTGGGAGACAATGCCTTGGATTAGACCCATGTACTGGTTGAGTGCTTAGCCTGTGCCAGGTGGCAGGCTGGGAGCCGTGTCAAGAGCAATGCAAACTCTCTGCTGCTGGAAAATTTCTGTCTCTCCTGCGGGAGGCAGGCAAACTCGTCACTGCACGGTGTGTAAAATGCCCACTTGGCGTTCTCCAAGGTGTCTGCTACACCAAATCTTACAATGACCTAAATGCAAAATTTTCAGTTCAGAAGAGCTCATCAGTACACCCACATACATGAATAACGTGTAACAGCATAAAGTGGTCGACCCTCCCAGGGGTGCTTGCAGTCTCAGCTTGAAATTTTTGCTGCCCCTGAGAGCTGAATCAGCCTGGGAGGAATATTCCAGTTAAGAGATGGTGGCCTCGGGGCGGTCCAGCGGCTCAGTTGGTTAAGAGCTCACTCAAGAGTGCGAGCTCTGAGCCACAGGGTGGCCGGTTGGATTTCCGGCCCCGAGATGAGCTGCCACTGAGCTGCCAACAGGTGGCAGGATGGCTCAGCTTAAAAAAAAAAGCGAAATGATGGCCTCCACTAGTTTGTGTGAATCAGACTTCCGTAGAAGTAAAAAAAAAAAAAAAAAAAAGGGGGGGGGGTGAGTGGTTGAATGCAAAGGAAATGAGCTGACATTTTCTTTCAACTCCTGCGTGAAATTATATGCAAATACATAGTAGGGCATCCCAGCGGTCTGGGTGGTGTGTTTGTTGATGGTGGAATGGTTCCTATGACCTACTTCTTCATTAACTTTCTCTTCTACGACAGTTGAATTCAGTGGAGCAAAATGCTGAATATGAAGGGCTTAGCCTGATGAGAATTTATGATTAGGAAGGGAATCTACCATTGTGGATGCTCTATTATAGGGGAAATCCGCTACAACGGAAGCATCTTAGTATAAGGAGAATCCTGGCATTTACACTAGACAGGCCTAGCTTAGAATCCCAACTCTACTCTTAATAGCTTTGTGACCTAGAGGAGTTTACTTAATTTCTTAGTCCAACTTCCTTATCTGTAAAAAGGAGCTATTACTACCTACATTTTAAAGTGCATGTAAAGCAAAAGATGTTTAATAAATGGCAGCTTTTTGTTGTTACTTATTAATTTATTCTTACTTATTAAATAATGTTACTATTAATCAATTAATGACATCAGATTATTGCTATTCTTGCAGGGAGTTGGGCCGCGGTTCCTCTCTTAAAATAGAATGATGATAGTTTTTATTAATTTTTTTAAATCATGATAATGGATATATTTTTCTAAAGTAAAAATTTTTCTATGTATTTTTCTTAAATGTTTGAGGCTCGCTCAGTCATTTATCTGGTGATAGGAATTAAAAAAAACTCTTTTAACAGTTAAACAATTACAGAAAAACTTCAAAAGCGCCAACCATACTAAAACTGATTAGTTTTCATGGCCACTATACACTTGATTATAATATTCATATATTGTGTTTCATAGTATGAAAAGCAAATTTTATTTAGTAAACCATAGTTCACATAAGAATTACATACGAGCCCTTTTTGTTTGTTTCTCTCTTCTTTATTCTTTTTTAATTTGTGAAGAGCATGGTGATGTCCAGGCATTCAAAACTTAAAATGTCTCATAATAATGGCCTTAGTTTGGATCCTTTTTTCCTGTTACTGTGCCCTTCTGACAGGTTTTCCTGCCTTCTATATCCCAAATCCCAAGACTATGATATAATTAATATTTTCGGACAAACAAAAGATAAATCCATAGATAACAACCAGCCAGAGATCAAAGATCATTTCCTGGTTCCCAAATATCGTTCCCATTTTTAATGATGTATTTACTTGGCAGCCTCTCACATTAGTAGTTCCTTCATTCATACTGTTTTTAATTTCTGTCTCCACACAGAAATTAAAAACAGTATCAATTAAAAACAGGGGTAATGGCAGAAATGAATGCTACCCTCAAAGACTTAAGGGTGCAAAGGTAGTGGGTCCACTCATACACCCATTTATTGGGTTGTCAGAAAAGTCATGACGTATTTTGTCTATGTTTCTCAAAGGTCATTTATTTATATAAAGAACAAAGATCAATGATATTGCCCATTTCATTCAATAACCCTTTGACATCTTTCAGTGAGCTTCATAATTCCTCATTCATAGAAGGGCCTGTCTTTATTTGTGAAAAACTGAACAAGGTGCTGATTTACAGCCTCATCTGAATTGAACGTTATACCACGCAGGGAGTTTTGAAGAGAGCGAAACAAGTGGAAGTCTGACGGCACAAGGTCAGGCGAGTATGGCGGGTGTGGCAGCACATCCCAGCCAAGCGACAATAATTTTTGACAGGTGATCAAACTTGTGTGTGGTCTCGTGTTGTTGCGATTGAACACAACTCCTTTACAATTAACAATCTCTGAATGTTTCTGGATGATAGATTTGTTCAAACTGTCCAATTGCCGACAGTACACATTTGAATTGATTGTTTGGTTCCTTGGTAGGAGCTCGAAAAACACGACACCTTTAAAATCCCACCACACTGAGAGCATAACCATCCTCTGATGAATGTCTGCTTTTGATGTTGTTTGAGGCAAATCATCACATCGAGACCAAGACCATTTGCACACCACCTTGTTGTAAACAATCCACTTCTCATCAACAGTTATCATTCGCTTCAAAAAAATATCATTTTCCTCACATTTAATGAGCATATTGCAGATATTTATACGCATTGTCAAATGAACTTCGTCGAGTTCATGCAGAACCCAAATATCAAGCTTTTTTACATATCCCAACGTCTTCAGGTGGTCATGAATGCTTGAATGATGAATGTTCAATGTTTCTGCAATCTCTCGTGTTATGTAATGTGGGTTTGACTCAATCAATGCCTTTATTTTGTCGTCATCAACCTCAGTGGGCCTCCCTGACCGAGGAGCGTCATTGAGATCAAAATCATGAGCATAGAATTTTGTGAACCATCGTTGGCACTGATATTCTTATAGAGCATTGTCACCGTAAACTTTATGCAACTTTCTGGAAGTTTGACGCGCATTCTTCCTTTGCGTACTCACTTTTACTAATAAATTTCTTGCTGTCCTATGCTGCACAAACTCTGTCTCTTGACTGCATTCTTTCCTTCAAGAAGACAAGAACCGAGGTACAAACGTCATTCTTGGTAACAAGAGAAGAGCCTATCATGCATTAAACATGTGTAATTAAACACATTAAAATATTTTTCCTCAATATTAAAAAAAACCAACATGCAGACAAATAACTTCAAATAGACAGGTAATACATCATATGTGAATTGAGAGAGGAAAGGAGGGAGATGGGAGAGAGAAAATAGTTGTTCATCTTATTTTGAGGCACAGATTAAAGGGAGACAAGAGTAAAAGGAGACCATAAGAGAACCCAAATGATGAAGGTGGCTGGGTTTGAGAAATAATTTTTGAGATAGAATGGACAACAGTTGGCTACTTGATTAGAGATCGGGCATAAAAGAGGGGAAAGCATCAAGGATGAATTCTAAGTTCCTGCATAAGCATTTCCTCTCACTTACAGTATATTGTAGGAAGGATGGGAACAGATGTGAAGTGACGTAGCATGAGCTCTGGTTTTGATATGTGGACATTGAGAGGTCATGGGAATATATAGGTGAGGACATATCTTGAAGTTGGAAATTGAATAAAGGTCTGGCCAGGAGGTAAAAGGTAAAGTTTTAAATGCACACATATGGTAGTTATAAGAGTGCCTATGAATGAGATCACCCAGGGAGAGTGTGACTTTCAACTAAAAACTGGGCTAAAAATGAAGGTTTACCAACATTTGAGGTGGACACCTTGAAAGAAATACCTCCTCAGGGAAAGAATTGTGCCTGGTAGGAGAAATAGAATAAAGTGGTGTTTTGGAAACTAAATCACCTTGTATTTACTGAAAATCACTTCAGTTAAGGAAGTCCCGATTTACAGCAAGATATATTTTGTTCTATGGGAAATATAATAGTTTACATTTTAACTTCAAGTCCTTCGTTAAATAAATGTTAAGGATTTGCTAATAAAACAATCAGGATTTTCCCCACTAGATGGTGATATTGATTCATGTTTCACAGACACTGCCTTAGAAAAAGCAAAGGAATATCTATTAAATATTTGCTGAATCAGGCACTGAGCTGAGCACCCTATATACGTTGTCTCATCTAATCCCTACAATAATATAAATCAGATCATGACATTCCTCTGGTCAAAATTCTGCAATAGATTCCAATCTCCAGAATAGAAAGCAAAGGCTTTTTACTAAAGCCTTTAAGAGCTTATACAATACAATCCCTATTACAGCCCCATCCCCACATTCTCAAATTCAAAGCATACACTTCTGCCTCAGGGACCTTTTTTTTTTTTTAACTTTATTGGGGAACAGCTATGGTCATTGGTTACACATTGCTTTCATGCTACAAGGGCATAGTTGATTCTTTTAAGGAGGACGCAGCTCACAGTGGCCCATGTGGGGATCAAACCAGCAACCTTGTTATCAGCACGAT